TACAGAAATTTGTAATAAGATACATAAGGTGGTTATAATAAAATATTAATTTTAATTATATGAAAATAATCGCACAATATATCTTTATATTTTAGAAAATACAATGGAAGCGGCGCTTCCACCGCTTACAAGGACGGCACGCCAGTGAAATTGAGGTAGATAAATAAATATCAAAAAACTTACTAATACACCTTATCTTGCAGCCGAATTTTATTATTCCTAACGTTTTCGGTCTTGTTAAAAGACCTTTCTGAAGAAAAATACAGCAAATAAAAATAACAAAATGTATAAATCGAACGCTCAATACAACGAACAAGCTTTTCGAATATTTTTTAACTAGCCTATAATCCGTTGCAATTTATGACGTCATTTTAAACTTTGCAACGGAAGTATAAAAATCCTAAAGATTACATAAATATCTAAATACAAAGAGTTACCATCTCCGAACATCACTCATAAATACATAGCTTAAGATACATAGTAACTGCTTCCCTCGATTATTATGGTTTATATTAAGCTAGAGGACCATGCTGCCGATATTTTTGTCGATTCTCGAAAGTTGATTGCAAGGCCTTTATGCTTTGCTTTACAAATCTGTCAGGCTTCCGCGTAATGCCGGTGTTTCCGGTCTCGAACTATCTGCATTAGTCTTGCTTGGTCCCATTCAGCCTTGACGTCTTGCGGGTCCGCTAAAACGTAGGTGGGCCAGCGCAGTGCATGGTTGTTCTTTTCTTATATTTGCTTGATGTTCTGCTAACCTGTCTTTGATACATCTTCCTGTTGCCCCTATATACATTAATTTACTACGTCGCCTTGAGTCCGTAACTGGGATTTTATATACACCGGGGAGTGTGCTTCTGTCCACTACATCCTTATCAGATCGTAATAGTTGGTAAGTAGTGAGGGTTCTTTTATATAGGATTCTTTTGTTCTGGGCCTTTCCGATGAATAAATTAAATTTAAAAATATATATAATTTTTCAAAACTTCTACTCTTATTTAATCTTCTTTCTCAGTGTTGGTTACTCACTACCACTAAAAAAAGTTTAAAATAAGGTTTACACGTAAGTCTACTGTATATAAAAAAAGTATTTATTTTGACTATGACTCATATTTTTGACAATTACAATTAATTTTGAAAGTATTAATACGTTTACGTTTAAAATTATGTTATTATCTATATAAGGGCTTGATAATGTTTCACACATTAATTCTCCTTACTGGCTTCTGAATTTAAAAAACTTTTTAATATGTGTAAGGGCGAAAGGGATTTTTGTGTCCTACAACCCTTACAGCATGAACAACACTGAATGAACAGAGATATTTTGTTGTGGTATGGTGGCGCGAGCGAGCTTCTGTAAAATATGGATAATGCGTCATAAAAATCGATGTGCTTTGAGTAATGTTAAGTAAAGTCACATTGGTGCATTTTAATCAATTTACTCGACAGCCGAAAATAATGCAGTTAATCGCTCTTGAAAGAACTCGCCCGATTTCTTTCCTTTTAATTAATAAATTGGTTCGATTTTCGTCGTCTAAGACGAAAAAAGAACTAATCGTGAGTATAACGATTTTCTTTTCTTAAATAAGAAAGCCGATAACCATTCGACGTGTTTTAAATAAATGATTACATTTCAGGACTCGTGCAGGATGTTGGAAATTTCTCAAACACCGACGGCCGACGAACTAAAGGAAGCTTTTCTCCGATTGGCCAAAAAGTATCACCCCGACGGAGGAGCGCCCACTGCTGATGCGGACAAATTTGCCGAGGTCCAGGCAGCTTACAGAATTGTCCGAGGAAATTTGGCAGAGTTAAATTGCGAAAATGACGAACAGCTGCTGGAGAAGAATTTTGGTATTAAAGTATGCTTTTGAAAATGTCGGTTTCTCCCTACTGAATTAAGGTTTGGGTGGTGTCGAGAAAAGTACCCGTAGATCTTTAATACCACATTTTTCCAGGTGTCTGGTGCAGAAATGGAGAAGGGAGGGAAGATGAATCTTTAGCTCTGGGGAACAGGTCGGAGTCTTCGGAGTCTGTATAATAAATTTATAATTACAAAGTATAAAATCAATTTAGATAAATTTAAATTCATAAAGACAAAGAAAAGAAATATGATAAACTGAAAAGATTATATCAAGTAGAATAGAGGAGCCCGAGGACTTTCTAACACCCTGTCTGTGTGGTTACTTCCCGGTATGACTAGACGAGTGCACAAAACTCTACCGGTTGTCGATGCGGAAGAAATGACTGTGGGTCAAACCCACATTATTTCTACTGTGGTATTGGGAGACAGTAGCACTCCAGCCAGATGATGCTTTGTTGGGTATCTTGGTGGAGAAGTTACCCGGTGTCTCCATGCTTTGTTGGCAACCCGACAAAGCATGGAGAAAGCGACAAATGAAAATGATTACAACTATGTTGAATGCTATTTGAAATAGTTGTGATCTGCTAATGAGATAAAATGTCTTGAAAAATGTTTAATCATGATTAAGATATCCAATAACTTATTATTTTAGGATTTTTGTGTTTTAGTTTGTTTGATAGAAAAATTTCAAAACAAGAAACAGATTTTTTTAGTGTGAAGATTCTGAATCTCAATTAAAGTATAAAAAAAATCAAATTTATATAAATTTTAAGTTTTTGGAAGAATATGTTTCATAAAAATTTTTGATTATTGGAGATATTCATTTAATAAATAAGACTTACTCTCTGGTAATTTGGTTTCAAGAAATAAGAGTTATCATTTTATTGATAATTTATAGAGAGAGTTGTTTTATGATTGAAAACTAGCTGAAAAAAAGAATAGTTTGACAATGATGTATGGAGAAATCTTGGTTTGCTATTAAAGAAAAGTGCATTGTAACTCTCATCTGTCTGGGAATTGTTGAAATATTAATTAATGGTAAACAATTCATGAAATTTGCTATATAGATTAAACTTTTTATTATATTAAAATTTAAAAATATATATAATTTAAATTTTTACATTATCAGAAAACTGCTAAAAATAGCACAAGTGAATAAAATTATATATAAAACAAGAACTTTCTTTATAGAACCTTATAAGCTTTTTTATTACATAAAGATGTTAAAGCTATTTTGTAAAATTTGATTACTTATATTTAAAAATTTTGATTTAGCATACTGTTCCCCAACATCGACGTTATCTCTCTAACGAAGGTGTCGGATATGGTTCGCCCAGCCAGCGGCAGAAACAATACCAGCAACACAAAATGAATAAAGCCGTGGAAAATATATTTGAGTACAGATCAAACAAATTGGCTAGTCAAAGTGAAAATTCAGTATTTGTTAAAGATGCATCGTTAGCACGACAATACAAGACAAGGTTAGGTGAGCTTGTTTGAAAATTCTCAATTTAAATTATTAGGTTAATTGCTTAACATAGAAATAATGATTCAATAATCCAATTGTAAGAATACAGACATGTATATGGAAGTTTGTACTTCTCTGTCATCAGAGACAATGACCTGGGATGCTTGTCCCAGATCATTGTCTTGAAAATGTTTGTGATGATATAGTAAAGACTTCTGTATTTGAGTCTATTCTGGTTATTAAGTCGACAAAAATATTATTAACTTTTATCTAGTTTGAATGTGAATTATATTATCTCATCTCTATTATCAAAATATTTTAAAAATATTTTGCAAAACTAACTTTTCTTCTTACAGAATATTTTAAAATGTACATTTATTTTAAATATTTATATAAAATAATTTTTATGCATCATTTTTGCATAAAATTTTGTCTCGGCATAGTTTTAGTACTAAAACCCAGTGGAGGGATTCAAATAATTTAACAACTGGTTTGCTGCACTAATGATTTATTTTAAGTCTAAAGAACAATATTTAGTTATAAGTATGAGGTCTGCCCTTTTTTTATTTTGGGTAATGTTATGTGGGTTCCAACAGAGTGGCTACTTGCACAATTTAATCAGTAACATGTTTATTTTATTCAAAATAAAAGACACATTCATTTTCCCATATGCTGAGAGACAGTTTAGATATATTTTTTCAAAATGCTGCACAAAACTTAGTGATGGGGGTCTCCTTAGTGGTTTAGCTGGATGGTAACAAAATGTTGATGGATTTAGAGTTGGTGGAATTTGAATATGGTAATAGATGAATTGTGATGGTCCTGCATGGCTGGTCAGCTTCCTTGATGTTAGCACCCTATGTAATACTGTTTCACAGAGCATCTTAACTGTGTCTCCATGCTTGCTTTCATTTTTTTAATACTTTTATTCGTGATTTTTCAACTAGTATTTACTTCCCAGGCCAATTCAAATTTGGTAAAAAGTTTTGTTCTTCCAATGGTGATTCAAAATGTTGAATGATTGTGTGTCATTGTGGTTGAAATGTGTTTAACAGAAATATATTGGCATATGTATAACAAAATCCAAATGAACTATACCTGTTAATAAAATAATAAAGTTTACAATTAAAAGTCTATAATTTGGCAAAGATTTCAGACCCCACAAAAGTTTGTGTGCAAGGCTTTACTGTATTTTTTCATACCAATGCACCCTGCATATTGATAAAATATACAAAATATGAGTAATAAAACAGTAAAAATAAACATTATCTGACAGTTGGTTAAAACTTTTTCCTAATATAACAAAAAGATTAAAAAATATTGCATAAAAAACTAAATATCCTGACAAAAAGCAACAATAAAACTATGATTTAAAATACAGTAGAACCTCGATTATCCGGACTAATTGGGGATAAAGGTAGTCCAGATAAGGAAAAATCCGGATAATTGAAACAAATACTTTAATTTGTCTTTTAATGATAATACAACACGTTTTCTTTCCGATGACATATCGGTAATATTAAAAATAAATACTGTATTTCAATCGTGATCAAATTTTCAAGAAACAAACATTCCTATTGAATTTCGACTACTACTGACCAGCGCTAAGAGACTACCTATTGTTTAAAAGGCCCTCTGGCAGCTCAAGACGGATTTTATAAAATAAAAAGCAGTTGAAACTGCATTTTTATGAATAAAAATTTGACAAACTATTTATCGTTTTATGACGAGTAAAATTTTTTCGTCGCGTTTGCGGCTTTTAAGTAATGCATAAACCTTCGAGGCACGAGGCCCTTCCGACCGCGAGGCATAGGTGTGGCCCACGTTGCCCATACGCTGCCCTTGGTCATAGAAATGATGTAATTTGAATATAAATTATTTATAAATACTTATGTCAAATTATATATTTATTACGACGCAAAATATATTTAAGAGTTTACGATCACTGTGCCAGGTGAGACGTTGTTGAAAGAAAAAAAGTTATGCATTTCATCACGTACATAAACAGTATCGTAATTCGCCAAGTGCAAATCAGCAAATTCGTAAAATTTTTGTTTATTTCGAACAATTCGGATAATCGAAAATCCGGATAATCGAGGTTCTACTGTATTTCTATATATTATCTCTTGATTGGTGTTGTCTTTGCAGTTTGTTTTGCTTTTATCTGAAGATCATTGATTATGTGATTAATCTCATCCTCCTCCTTACCTGAGACTATCCATAATAGAAATCAATGTTTTAATATTGATATGTAAAATTATCCCATAAATGTATTTATTGAATGTATTTATTGTCCTGCATTTCTCAGTTCTACAAACACAGATGTTTGTGTTTAGAGCTTATCATGTATGCTCACAAGTTGAGCAGAAAATGTCAGATGCAAGATTGTGATAGATGGTCACAGATCAATTGCAATCTCAGCAGCATTGAGTTTGTGCTTGCACTGATTACATAGTTTTTCTCTTTCATTCTGCACCAGCCTGCATTGAGTTGTTAAAAAGTTGGCAGTCTTAGGCAAATGCAGACTTTTTTGATAAATTGCCTAAATAAATATTCACTAAACTAAGAATATTCTGCTAAACTGGTGTGAATTGGCTGTATCCCACCACTGAATAAAACTAAAAATACATATACAATATATAACAACTAAAGTAAAACTCAGTAACATACTTTACACTAATATTGTTTTAGTCATAAGTAATGTAATGCCTGCTTAGATATAATGGTTGAATGTAATAGGAGTCACAGAAAAATGTAAAATTTAGTTGCTGAAAATGGAAAAACAATTAGTTTCTGAATATTGCTGTAACAGTGAAAACTTACTTTTAGACCTAAAACAGAGAAATGCTAAACTTTTGACTTTCTCTGAAAAATGTCAACAACAACAAAAGTATAAAAGAACTGTGGCTGCATTTTTCTATAAATTTTGTCATACAGCAATGATAATACAATAGAATAGATTTATAATTACAGATACTGGTAACATTAGGTGACAGATAGCAATATCATTAAGATTGAATCTTAACTTATCCTGTTCAGATTCAGTAGAACTGAACAGTTTGAATTTTTAAGTGATTATGTTTTGGAATGTACTGTACTGTATGAAGCACAAAATTTATAATAGACCATACTACTGGAGTTTGTGAAACACAGAATAGATTTGTGAGTTAAGATTTGAAAAAGAATCAGAATTATGTATTCAAAAAATAAGGATTTTAAATAAAGCAAAATTTGATAGAATTGGATTTTGATGGGCTCTTTTGAGAACAAGTGCTCAGATTTCCTTTCCAAGAGCCTTTGTTTGTTCTGTCTTGTATAAAGTGATATAAACTGTAGCTTTATTGAGACCTGTACAATAGTTTGTAGAATAAAACTACAGTATTTTGTTTCTTATCATTTATTTGTAAATTTATTAAAAAGTGATTGTTCTTTCAAACCAATAAAAAAGGCAACTGGAAGGAGAATATCTTGAATTTAACTTGTCTCAAAACATATAACTTAATATAAGCAATTTTATAGGTTATTTTAATCAGAATTCTGATTAATTAGCAATAAGCTTAAAAATGTCTGTTTACCTGAAGAAAATGATATCTTTTTGTGCTGTCATCCTCAACATGTGGTAATCATTATCAATCCTAATGTTTAAAACAATTACTCACTAATACTTAAAGTACTGGTTATATGTTTGCGTAATGGTTGATTTAAACTGCTGATATAACAGAGGGAAAGTATAGCAATTGGTCAAAAAATAAGCTCCCCAAGGTTTTTACATTTTTGGACTTGAGACCTTGAAATGTCAAATGCAAAAAATTTTGGGGTTTTTTTTCTGTACGTACAAATACTTGTGTGTGTACCACGATTTTGTTTACCCACTTTGAAACTTAACTCCTGTGCTTTTTGTCAAAAATTCCTGAAATTTTGCAGGAAGGTCTGTGTATTAGGGCGATTGATGCATTTAATTTTGGTGGTTAAAGGATAATGGGATTGGGAGATAAAGGGGATCGTGTCATATCTCGAGTAGGGTCAGACTTAATGACGATTTTCCTTATTATTAGCATTTACAGTTGTTTATAGAACCCATCCTTATCCTCAAAATTAAGCCTTTTGCATTTTTAATTATTATAAAATATAAAAGCTTTTTAAATTCACTGTCATAACAGATGGTGCCATATGAACTTTAAATGTCACCAGGAAAGTTAAGCAACTCATTGCTCAATTTTTTTACTTCAGTTTTATGCTAGCTGTAAATAAAGATACTGCAAAAATAGCAGATAAATTACTATTAATAAATCTTCAAGTTATACATTTTTGTTTTAAAAAAGAAGTTAATGTCAGAATTTATAATCTGGAATTCTGGTTTTATTGTCTTATTTAATTACCCCATTTAATGTTTTGAATCTCTTGTTGTTAGTATTGACAAATTCCAAAAGGATTATTATAGTAAGTTGATATTATTGTATTAAAAAGCAAATGAAATGTAACTTTTGAATAATATTAACTAAATCTACATTAGCTGTTAACTTGAAGGAAAAAGAAATGTCTACAATCAGAAAGTTGCTATCAAAAATTTATATTTCAGATTTGGGATGACAGTCTACAAAAAAATTTTAATAAAAATTGTTTATACAGTAGAGCATTGATTATCCAAATGCCAATTAACCAAAACGTCAGTTAACCAAAAGCATTTCAGTCAGACTGTGTCATGCTGAATCAAATGTTTTTGATACTAGATTAACTTCTAAAGTATAATTTTTTTTTGTTTTTATATTTTTCAATATATTTATTTTGTTTGTACAAAATAAAGAAATAATTTTTAACAATACAATAGCCACAATTATTATTTTAAAAAGTTTATGTTAGGCTTAACATCAACGAAAATTCAATGGAGAAAAATTTCAGAATGGGATGGGTTAATACATTTTTTTGTACATAATCGGTTATCCGAACAACCCCAGTCCCCAATTGATTCGGATAAACGACACTCTACTGTACATTACAACAATTGTTAATATTAGTATGTTTTGTTATTGAAAAAAGTTGGGTGTGTGTATAATTTTGATGCCGACTGTATAATACTGCGTAGAAAGACCATTCTATTTATTAAACACTTAAAACTATTATTAACGAGATTTGGCACTCGTACCTTTGTCGTCGTAGATTTTACATTATTTTTTGGAAAGTAGAGTTGTNATATATATATATATATATATATATATTTCATATGATTTAGACAAGCAATGGAGAGATTGGTGGAAGATTTAATACAGGAATCTATAGCTCGAGGAGAATTTGACAATTTGCCTGGTAGTGGAAAACCATTAAAATATGTTCCTGAAAATCCTTATGTAGACAGCATGACTCATAAATTAAATCAAGTAAGATTCTTTAATTATATTATTAATTTTTAAATTGCATTTACAGTATTTGATTTAGCTGACTCTCTGTTATCATTTATAATTTATAGATTTTAATAAATAATGGATTTACACCAGAATGGATTATTCTTGAACAAGAAATTAAAAAGGAAAAAACTGAAATTCGGACATTGTTAGAGAATCAGAGAAGTCAACTCGGTCCTCATCCAATTTCTGGAAATGAGAAATGTCAGTGGAGAAATATCATTCTAAATAGTCAGCCCAAAGTAAAATCATTAAATATAAAAATTGATAAGTACAATATGATAGTACCAATTACAAGAAAACAACAGGTATGTTGATTATTATTTTTAAACTGGAAATTCAGTTTTCATTTAATAATTTTTCTATTTTTAGTTGCATTTTCAATTAGAAAAAGAAGCAGAAAAAATTTTAAGATGTGGAAAAACAGGCATGTCAGTATCATCAAAAAATCAAATGAAACACAGTCAGTCAATGCCAGAAAATGCACTGGATGCTTTTTGGAATTTATTTCGTTAAAATGATTTAACAATAATTACTTTCAGTCATTGAAAATAGTTTGTATTTTGTTGTAATAAAAAAAATGTATAAAAAATATTCTGGAATGTTAACAATGTGCATGTTGTTCATTTCCAAATAATTTTTTTATCTTGACCAAGAGATATTTTCTCACTAGCTAAAAGTTCTAGTGCTTGTGGAAAAATTTTGTGTTCATAGGCTTTCACTCTCTCTCTCAGAGTCTCCTCAGTGTCATCAGTTTTTATATCTACAGCAGCCTGACAGATGATGGCCCCAGCATCAACTTCGGGCTGTAAATACAAACAATTCATGAATCCTTTCCATTTTTTAAAAAAATCTAATTACAAGAAAGTAATTACCAACCTCTACAAAGTGGACTGTACATCCCGTAATTCTGGCTCCAAATGCCAGAGCATCTCTGTGGGCATGTGCACCACGGAAAGATGGCAAAAGAGAGGGGTGAATATTGATCAGTCGCCCACTCCATAGTTTCACAAATTCCGCTACAAAATGTAGAAAAGAAATTAAAATAAAATATCTTTATTTAATTTCCAACTTATAGATTTTAAATTTACCTGAAATTATCCTCATAAATCCTGCTAAACATATTATTTCCACACCAGCTTCAATCAGAGCCTCATGCACTTTCATATCAAAATCTACTCTTGACTTGTATCCCTTATGACTAATTACCTGAATAAAAATTTCGTTATTTTCTCATTCTGTATTTTAAAAAAAACTGAAATCTATTTCTTCCTTTTTACCTTGGTAGGAATATTTGCTCTTTTGGCACGTTTCAAGCCTTCCACTTCTGGCACATTAGATATGACTAATACGATCTCTGCTGAACTGCAATTACTCTCATCAAGAGTATGATCTATTAATGCCTGGAGATTTGTACCTTGATGATTTTTTATAAATAAAAATCATTAAAATATTAGGAAGAATTTTAAATAACACTTTAACAAATTCTAGTTGTTATACCTGAACCAGAAATAAGAACACCAACTTTCTTTTTTTGTTTCTGAGGGTTCTTCAAAACTTTTTCAAAATTTAAAATTTTAACTTGTTTCTGGCCTAATAAAAGAAAATATATGATATGAAAATTATATGCTGTATTGTATTTAACATTGTTTTGATTTGTTTAATGAAGTACCATCATTTGAATATTTCACTTTTCCCACTACAGCAGCTTTTTCTCCACTTTCTGTTAAAGTATTTAAAATAATATTCTGGTATTCTTTTGCAGCTATTAAAATCATTCCCAAACCACAGTTAAATGTTCGTAACATTTCTGTACGAGATACATTGCCTGTGGGGGAAAAAAAAGATAATTAATGGATATAATACAGAATTATAATAGATATAATTTAATTAAAAAAAACAAGATTTTATTAGGCAATCTAACAAAAAAATTAGTTGAGAGAAGCAACATGGGGAGTTTTACAGTAAAAAGTTCATCATCACAAGAAATACTTAAATCTGAAAATTTATTATGAACTATAGAGATAACATTTGAAACTCTACAGATGACCTTTACTCTATAAAGCCAATTTTTGTTTTTCTTTTTTAGCTATCAGGAGTCACAGCAGTGACTCCTTGCCAAGTAAAAAAGTCACTGACTGACTATATATACAGGAATCAGAACTGCCGATTTTCGGGGATCGATTCTCCGTCCCCAAATAGCTGATGTTATTCCGAATAGCTCGTTCCAAAGAAAATTGTTTTCCTAGGTAGTGTGCAAAATTTCAAGATTTCCTGTAAAGCGGTTGCCGAAATATAAGCAATTGAAAAGTGCAAAAATAGCCAAAAAAGCTGCATTTNCAAAAAAGCTGTATTTTCCTTCTTTTTTTTCATCCAGCATGCAGACATTCATAGAAAAAAAACTACTGAGTCTAGAAAGCTCAAATTTTAAACTTAAACCTTTCTTGTTATCAGAGAGGTGTTTGCAAAACTTCTAGGTCACTAGGTCTAGGTTCATGGTGGTTTCCCCATAGAGCTAATTCAATTTTATGGCTTACTTTTATGTTTATAAAGATAAAATTACATGGAAACAAATGAATTTTATTCAAAATGTTACTCAGAATTACAAAAGCTCAAATTTATGCCAATTAAGACTTTTATAATAAGTTTTCTAAACAGTTTATTGAAAGTGTTGGTGGCACAATCAGTTGCCAAGCATCAACCAAATCATACCTCATCATTTTATGTCTTGATGTAATAATACAATTATTAAACAAACAAAAACATCTGAGATGTAAAAAAATTACTCCAAGTAAGATTTTATGACAATTTAGATGGCGGTCAAAATTTTTCTTAGTAGTTTTTCTTTGGTAAAGATAAGTTTGGTGCTCGGAAGCAGTACCAACAAGATTTTTACTTGTATTATTGTTTTCTATATTTTGCTGCAAGATTATCTTTACCAAAGAAAAACTGCTAAGAAAAATTTTGACAATCTAAATTGTCATAAATTTTTACTTGGCATAATTTCTTTACATATGAAGAGAACCCATAGGATAAATCAAGTCTCTTTATAAAGACTTTAAAGATTTGAACTTGCTTCTGTATGCACCTGTCTTGGAAGTCTTTGCTTTAACAACTTTTCACATTACATGTAGACTTTATGGACCACCACTTAAAAAGTTTTTAAGTACATTAGATTCTGATCTTTTCATATAAACTAGTTCATTAACTTTCAGTAACTGATCCTCCTTATGTAAGTTTATGAAAATTGAATTTTTTATGAAAATTTTCTGATTTGTAATGTAAGATATTTTCAGTTACTGCAATATTTATTGCTATTTTAATTAATTAATGAGCTAATGCTACACTTGGATGCCATTAATTTGCAGCATCACCAAACCATTCCTCATACCACTTCTTGCAAATCTTTTTATTTCATTATTTGGTATATATTCTTACCAGTTTTTGAAATCCATGAGAAAACTGGAGGTAAATCCCACATTAAAGCGTCCAGTTCAACTTCACAATTGAGTGGTAATATTCGTGGAATGTTTTCTGTTAAGCCTCCACCTGTGATATGTGCAGCACCTTTTACATAACCATCTTTCAACAGGGGAAGTACTGATTTGACGTAAATCTTTGTGGGAACTAGAAATGATTCACCTGTAGGAAATGTTAAATAAAATTTATTTAGTGTCAAGATAAAACAATATCAAATAAAATGATAACTAACCTAATGTTTTATTCTTTTCAAACGGAGAAGCTTGAGAATAGGACAATCTCTCTATTTCCATTAATTTATGGATTAAACTAAAACCATTGCTGTGAACTCCAGAAGAAGAGATTCCAATTACCACATCACCATCTGTAATATCATTTAATTTTGGTAATAACTGATTCCTTTCCACTGCACCAACAGCAAATCCAGCCAGGTCATAATCGCCAGGAGCATACATTCCAGGCATTTCTGCAGTTTCACCACCTGCAATTAGATAATTCTTTATATGAATGTAATAAAGTTAAATTTTTACTTAAAATTTATTCATTGAAGTTATGTGAAGCAAATGTCAAATTTTCTTTATAAATCTATTCTTTATGATATTTGGAATTTATTACCTGATAACACACAATTTGCTTGTAGACATCCTTTAGCAATTCCAGAAATTACAGCTTCTGTTACATCTGAATCCAATTTACTACATGCAAAATAGTCTAAGAAATACAATGGTTCTGCTCCTTGGGTGAGTATGTCATTGACACACATGGCTACCAGATCAATACCAATGGTGTCGTGTTTGTTGCAATAATGCGCCAACTAAAAATATATTCATTTTGCAACTGCTTCTACAATCCAGAATAAATGAACCATTACCTTTAGTTTTGTGCCAACGCCATCAGTGCCTGACACCAATAGAGGATTTGTATATCCTGCCAGTCTGATGTCAAAAACTGCTCCAAAACCACCAATGGAGCCTATTGTTCCAGGACGACGAGTGCTTTTAGCCAAATGTTTAATTTTCTCTACTAATTTATCTGCTTTAGTAATATCTACACCACTATCTTTATATGTTAATCCTTTAACCCTAAAAATAAACAATATTTAATGCTAATTCATGGTTCTGCATTTGAAACAAGTTTTTGAATTAAATAACTATCTCAAACTAAAATTGGTGGAGATATTAGGCTTATAAAACTGTATTTAGCATTATAAAATCAACACCAAATCAAAAGAAAGACTAATTTTATTGATTTTTTAAAATTTTATTATTATTTAATTTTAAAGCATTTTTAAAATTAAACCAACCATTTTAAACTTGGAGCTGACCAAATTATTTTTAATTTTTAAAATAATAATTTTCTTCTGTAAAACTTAATCATGAAGTTAAATTTTTACCAAAAACTGCTAGATTGGTCAAAATTTTAGTAAGACACTATCAAGACAAATGAGTCTGTCATTTGTCTTGACAGTGTTTTACTAGAAAATTCTTTTATACCAAAAGTTCATTTTATAAGAACAATTGGACATATAATAATGTATAAACAGTAATGTAGCCATCACCAGCAGTTAAGTATTAATACTATTGAAAATTCTTGTGAGTATGTTAGATATTGTCAAAGCCTTCAAATATCATTTGACAGATGCATAGTTATATGTAAGACTACAAATACTGTAAATATCAGAAGCTTCAACTAATAGTTAAAATATACTGTAGTCATCAGACATATCCTGCTTATAGGTGAATGTGAACTGATTCATACATCACTCAAGAATGAACTCATTACACGAGCAATTATGTAATACTGAAGAGGAATCATCAAGACAGTGTGATTCGAAATGCATATATATTAGGGAGAAAATAATAAAAAGCGTGTCAAATGCTAGTATTGTTACTTTGGTTTGCTGCAATTCTAGACAACCAAAATTTCAAATAGATCTGTATCTGTACCAAAATCACTTGATTTACAAATTAAGAAAGAAGTGACTGTTTACCGATGTAATTATATATTGACTTTGTTATATATCATTTTATTGTTAACTTAAAAGATGCAAAAATGTTGCTTTAATAGGGTTTAAAAGAGAACGGAAATACATGTATTTTTTAGTCAGTCACCTATTTTCAGATAACAATAATTTACAAGATTATAACACTTTTGTCATGATAATTAAATCAAATTGAAAATTACTATTCTGCAGAGAAAACATGTAATGAATAAATTTCAAAATTTTTAGAAGAGAAACTAATTTAAAATTATAAAATCTTGGAGAAAAATTTTTGGATTAAGCCATTTCTAAGAAGAGAATCCAAATCTTTACAGTTTATAATGGTATTATTTAAATTTCTACTTTAGATCCATATGGCTTCCACCAAGACAAAACTGTCATAATGTTAAAAATAAAAGAAGAATTGGACAAATGTCACTAGTCATCAATGCCATGGTAAGTAAAATAAGTGGGACACTTGTCCAGGCAGATGTCAAGGACATAAAATAATAATGCCAATACCTAATGTACTGTACCATACATTAAAATTTGCTGTGATTGAAAGTGAAAACAAAAAATGTTTGTTATTCTGGGAGTCAGCAGCACTTAATCCCAGTGCATAAAACATAGTTATTAACCAATGTTATAACTAATTTTCAGATTCCTAAATCTGATAAACAATGATTACTGTACTACTGTACCATCTGCTGAAAATATAATTTATTCTGAATTAAATTTGCTTATATATTAAGTGAAAAAATGCAAAATTTTTATTTGGAAGAAGAATCAAATGTTTTTAAACATTTCAAATGTAACAAGTTTTTTTTGAAAGGAGAAATCAAATTTTAAAACCTTAAATTTACCCAAAAACATTATTCACTATAGCAATTTAAAAAAAATCAAGTTTTGGTCTGCTACTAGGAACATCCACTCAATTTTTGATCCAATTCCAGCACATGGTCATTTACTTTTTTCTATGGAGTTGTACTATATTGCATGTTACTGACATAAATGAGTTTTATTTCTTTGATGAATTTTTTAAACAGCACAATTAAGTGTAAGGTTTACTGAATAATAATAACTCTCAAAACAGTCTTCTCATTTAAGATTGTATATGTTATTTAATGTAAGATTTTAAAATCAAAAACTAGAAAGCAGGAAAGATTCCTTTCTTAGATCTCCTTAAATATAAAAAAATATAACAAAATTGCAAAGAATAAAGAAAATAATACAATTATGTGTTAATAAAAATTCCATTAAGTAAACTATCTGATTTAAATATTTTACAAGCATAATCCTTGAGTGACAAATTGGCTTTGAAATTAATACCAACCAACAATTTTTATTCAGAAGAGTTTGAATATTTTAAATATCAGCTTTATTTTTTATGGACAAACTTCTACTTTGACAGGGAAAAAACCCTTCAATGTGACATTTTCTGAACAATATACCCTAAGCATTTAGTCATTGTAAACAAGAGAAATTGGAAAAATGAAATAATTCAATAATCTAAGAACGTTTGTTACAAATTTTTTAATGGGATCAAATTTACATTTTTTATTTTTCCAACTTTATATAAATTTATGAGAAATAAATTAACTCCTTGGCTGACAGAAGCAATAATGGTTGTTATATTATCATTGTAAAACAAATGGTTAAAATACAGTGATAAAAAAAAATTGTTGCACCTTGAATTAGTCATATCATTATGAAATTTTGCTCATGTAATGAGATTTGATAGAAAAATTATTGCAATTTCACATCTGAAGGACTAAGTCAGAACAATGGTGCCTGAACCCAATGCATAGTAAAGTTACTTTTGGTAATGATTTATACTGATTTACAGAGCATCTGGTACATGGTATGAAACCTTTCTTGCGAGAGATGATATCAAGCATTGTACTTGCTGGACTAGTTCGATGCCCATGCTGGCTGTAATTGATTTCCCAGCAGATCCCAAAAATACTGTACTGTATTGGCAAGAGTACTGTTGACCTGGCTGGCCTTGGAAGGATGGCAACACCAAATAGGTACTTCTGGAGTGAGAGAGATGCTATATGTGACTGGGCATTATCCTGCTCATGACAACAAAAGCAACAGAACTAGATGCAGAATTGACATGAAATAACAATGCAGCACTGTCTTGTTAAGTTATCATGGAGCACTTGTAGTGAAATTGTCTGTTATAAAAGATGGATCTTTAGTCTTGGTGTGATTGTTGTGTGCTGTTCCATGACTAAGACATAATTAAAGTATTGCTCCTTGTCCTTCAGACAAATTCCCCATGGAAGAAAGGTTACAGTACTCAAACCTTTAAAAATGCAGTATAATTTTAATTTTCAAACATTCAGTCATCTTAAACAATCTTCTTCAGAATTTAGGTTCAAGATGAACTAAGATAACAAAGAACCAATAGAGAGAGTACCAGACAATATCATATATATTATCAAGTATATTCAGTTGTGCATACATATAAGTTGTGGCATAGTGTGTATATTGTATGAGTTAATTTAGTTCTTAACTGTATTCTTAACAAAAATGTATATAAGTTTATGAGTTATGTATTTTATTTCCTTTAGTGTTATTTTATTTTTGTGGTTTATTTTTGTTTTTTTTTTATTTTTATATAATTGTATTTTAATCTACGTATTAGTCCAACACACACATTTAAATTTTTGTTGTTCTGAAATGTTAGCATTTGAAATGAACTTGTTCTAGAGGACATTCCAGCTTTCCCTCTTATTTTTAAATTAAAATTTGTTTCTTTCTATCCTGAAAAAGGTCATTTAAGATGACCAAAAACATTCTAAATTAAAATTATAATGCATTTTTAAAGGTTTTAGTAGTGGTCCCATGGTTTATGACAAGTGCAGTTTTCAGAAAAGGGGAAGAAAGATCATATGTTCTGAGGTAGAAATGGGATATTTCACTGATTATTACATGATGTCATTTGGATACTAGTTACAATTCCTAGATAGTATATCACTCTACAGCACTGCTGATATAGGATGGTTAGTAATAGTCATCTTAAGAGAGCCAAGAATGAAATTTTACCAGTCACTTTGAAATGATTCATTATGATATTGCATGCTTCAAGGAAGATATTATGTTTCTTGATGGTCAATGAAATTGTAGGCATTGTTTGAGCTGTTTTCACTATAGCACAATCTTCCATCTAGTTGTTTGCCTGTGTCCCCAGAGCCTTCATAATGAGCACATATGCAATAACTGCTACCATCATCATAATGCCACATTGCTACAACTCAAATTGTAGCTGATCTACATGACCATTTTGCTTCTTACAGGCCCACAATGCAGCCTATCTCAAACTCATTTAGTTGTATGATGGTTGGATACATTATCTGGGCATTTGCACTGGAATGACCAACATTCCAGAGACTTGAGTTGCTCTTTCATTCATCTGCTTTAGGACCAAACTGTACAGTACATTCATTGGTGCTGATTTTGTAATCATTTGAACTGCAATGCTTAGCATGCATTGCAGTTCTTAGACTAGTTCTACAGGCTATATCAATTTTTTCATCACAGAATTTAAATTTAAATGAAAGTTTTGAACATTTTATAAAATAGTGGCTTGTTAAAAGGTTATATTATTTATCTCTCATTATAACTATTTGTCAATTTAATAATGTAGAGATGAAATGTTGCAAACAAATTACAAAGTAAGTATCATAGTAATATTTTCATAGTTTGCCACAAAGCATTTGATGTTAATTTTGTTTCTATTTTACATTAATTATTTTTAATTTATTTCAGCAACTAAACATACCAATTAAATCAAAATTTTATTAAAATATTAAAAATATAATAACAATTCAATACAAATAACAGAAATTTTCTAAATATAGCTAGCATAAAGCTAATTTAATTACAGCTTATAACTGTTAAGAAATTTTTATCATCATACAATATGACTAAAATAGTAATAAGTTCCAATTACTACTTCAACTAACTAGGGGAATTAGCTGTCATAGATGGCTTCCCAGACCTGGTGTGTTGATTGTGTGCTACACCATGGGAAAAGCCTGGTTAGAGTGGTCCCTTGTCCTCCTGACATAAATGTGGTGGTCATCTGTTCCA